TTACTTTTCACACGAAAGATGTCTCATGATTTTAGAATGGCTAATTAAGATGAGTGCACTGACCTTTCACTGCATATCAACTGGTTCAGGTGCTAAACACATGCTTTGTAATGCATTGTGGTCTGCAAAGAATTACAGAATATTTTGAATCAACATCTGAAACATCTGAACATCTGTTTACCTTAGTTAATGGTTCCCTGTGGAGATTGTTTTCACCTCTAATAGTACTATGGTGCCATTTGGGGTCCCCGTATACAAGCTCGTAGGCGGGTAACGAGATACACAGTTTCACTCTATTCCACTGAACAACAGGCTGTAATGCAGCAATGCCCCAACAAAGTCAGTGAAGAAGAAGAATCCCAGTAAGTAAACAATGCCGGAATTAAAGTATCAGCTTTATCAGCTTTGCACACTGAATGTAAACACAACATGTTTGTTTGTTTACAAGAAAACTCCAAAGGGCACCTTTAAGTATTTCATATATTAACATATCAGTGTAACATGTCTAAAATGAAAAATGTTTCCTATAGTATATGGTATGGTATAAGACATTTGTGACCAAGTGTTTTGTGTTTTATGTGCAAGTGGTTCAAACAGTGGTTTTTTGGGGAGCTAAAAAAGGAGTCTTGTTTTCAACGTTTGTTCCATTGTACAAATTTTAGTTTAATCAATGCTGTTAAATGAAACTATTTCAAAATACCAAATGTTGTAGAACTTTCTAAGCCCTTTCCTCAACCCACATGTCATCCTTGAATGGATGTAAAAACAATAAACAAAATTGTATTTATGAAGTTTTATGTTTATAATGTTTTTATTCTTTGCTATTTTATTAATATGTAGTGTGACAGACCAGTGTCACTACGGTTGAGTGTGTGCTGTGACTACTTTATTAAGGAGCCTGGCTCTTTGGTGTTGTGGTCAAGTTGCATGTTTGGTACCCTTTATACCCGGGTTCAAATCTAGGTGAGGTGACTGCTCTTGCCCCTCTGTCATATATGGATAAAAATTTGTGTGTGTTTAGGCAGTAAGTTTGAATCATGTTCTACCTCATGCTTTCTTTTAGAAGCAGAGTTGCAGAATGTCAGTATGACTATAGACTGGTGGTTTTATGTACTTTCATGCTGACTGTGATAGTGAATGTGCTTCCAAGACACTGTAACAGGAGTGACATGTGATTGGATCCCTACTCGTTACCATGTACTGTGAGCTGCACAAAGACAACAGGCGATTTTATGGAATGAGGGAAGAAGCTTATGTAGCTACAGTATCATTATATCCTGCTTTACCACTCGAGTCGCATGTCACTTATTTCTACACCAGAGTCAAGCTGTTTCTAATCCAGCCAGAAGCCAGAACTTCAAATATACTCATCCATCAGTTCTTGAATTGGTCTTCAGTTGCTGTTCGCTGATGCCAAAACCAGGGTTCGAATCATACTAACTAATAAAGAAATCCTCAATCCTCCTGCTTGCCCAAGAGATCCTGAATATTTTATTTTTCCTGTGAGAAGTAGACCAGAACTAGACCTACACTGAAAACTGTTCTAAAATTAACCAATGTTTTAAATGTGGCTAAACAGATAAATGATTGTCCCTTTGTTGTAAATGAAGTTTAAATGTCCAACAACAAAGTGGTAGCTGTTAAATTCAAGGTCTTGGGTGTCATCAGCTAATATTCAAGATATTTTTACTTTAACATTCTTGACTTTAATTATGAGAACATGTTTCCTGTTGTTGTCACAGCGAGGTCCACATCAGTTTGTTGACGCTGTGAGCTACAATCACCTGCACCATTTTAACTCCCAAGAGCCCCTTTGAAAAGGAGTAGGCTTTTCTGAGGATTTCTAATCAGGTGTGAATTGATCAGCCTGTAGCATGCCTGCACCTTTTATCAAGTGGACGTAAACTAGACTGTAATTTTTTTTATAGATATAGAAGTGTATTTACCGTAAAACTTCAATTAATAGCCGAGTCCCAAATAGCCGCCTACCTCCTTTACTGGCCTGGAGTGGGAACACATTTTGACAAATAAACGCAGGTCTCCATTAGACACCTGGTCTGGTTTTTATAGAAGAAAAAAAAAGCTTTAGCTGATTCTAAGCTATTTAGATCATGCATACAAATATTAATGTTTAAATGTATGATCAATATGAACATGCTACACATCATTAGATTGGTTAGATTCTCCCATTCAACCATTCAGTTTAACAGAAACAAGAGCCAAAGCCAAAATTCATATAGATTCACCAGTGTAACCGGGATGGTTCAAGAGAAAAAAGTGCCGACTCCCATTACCTTTGAAGCCTCCTTAAGTTCAAATGTGTCCGTTCCTTGATTATTTATATTCCTTTAGTCTGTATGGGGTCTACCAAATCAAAACAGCTTCCATCCAAGTTGTGAATCCTGTCATGGAAAGTCCATTGCTCTCTGTCTGCTAACTTCTGCCACACTTCTCTCATCCTGCACCATGTTGTTGGGGGTTTTTTTCCCGTTACATTAGTATCTACAAAATAAAAGTGCATCAGAGCTAGATCAAACGAATTAGTGTGTTTGATATGATTTGAATATTTTTTATACAAGTAATATTCATACTGTTTGAAGTAAATAAACTGTTTTCATAGTAGCTTCAGTTTTGTGCAAAAGCAATTAAAGGCCTGTCCCATATGGACGCCTGTCCCAAATATAGGCAGGGTCAATTCAGTGATTTTAGCAAATAAAAGCCCGGGCTATTAATCAAAGTTTTACAGTATAGCAACAGAAGGATAGAAAACTCAGAGCAGGGGAAGATAGGGAAATCCTTTATTACATATTATAGTTTTTCTTCAAATAATTTAATAATATTAAAAAAATATTTTTCTTTAGGGGTGAATGAGTTACATAATATTCGTGATATGTGTTATGCTACAATGACCCTTACCATGTTGCTTATTTGTGAATTCAACAGCCTGTAAGACAACTTAAAGGCCATACATTTTTCTGAAAATGTGCAACATTACCCTCATATTTACCGCAAATTATATCACATCTCCCCCCTCTCTATGACTGTGTGATATGATTGGATCAGGTATTAACACTTTTGCGTTTCCTAATCCTAATTCCTTTCTATCATAACCCAGCCTTTATGCAGTAGGCAGTCTCTGCCTCTCACAAAGGTGTAGCTCTGTCTGTACATTGCATGTAATTTAGATTACTCTGCTCCGACTGGACAGTTGTGCAGTTGTTGTTAATTTATTTTTGTGCTGTTTGCTTCCTGTGAGAAAAGCTTTTTCCAAAGATGGGAGATTTGTGGGCCATGCCAAATCATAATCACATACTAATATATATATATCATGGGCAGAATATAAAAAGTCAACTGCAAGCAGATTCTCTCTCTCCCCCCCCCCCCCCTTTAAATGCAGAATAAATTAGTGAGGGAAGAGAGAGTACTTTAAAACTGTTGGAGAAACCCTGCTTCTCACAGCTACACAAAGCATTGCACAGAGAGTGCATAAAGTGAGAAGGTAAAAAATAATGTCAGAAGAAAACTGACATGTCAAAGAAATGCAACACACAAAACAAAGTAATTGATTGCCTGGCTGAAATGGTCTGCCTCCTTATGAGAGCAACATGCTCCCCTTATTCTGTTTTATGTTTTCTTTACTAAAGTTATGGTTAGACAAATTGTTCAGTAATCTTGTTTACATTAAGTGAGGCTTTAGGTTTTTCTATGCAATAGTTATTCAAAACTGTCTTGAGAAATACAGTGGCTGAAGAGCAACTGAGCCATCTGAGGAGTCAAGAAAAGCTAGGGCCATAAATCTTGATACTTTTGTGGATGTGTTTGCCAAAACATATAAAGTTGTACTGAAAACAATGTAGCCTTATAAAGTAGAAATATGAATAGGTTTTGAGTATGCTTTTTTGTTTTGTTTTTCATTTTTGGACATATATAATATAATGTTTCTGTTTACAAAAAGTCCTCTGAAAAGGCCTTGAAACTTGAGTGGGCCAGCTCGCAGTGAATCATTCGTTCCTTTCAATCAATGAACCCATTCAAATCAAAGCTGTATATTTGTCTTTTTAAAGAAACGGACAAGTAGCGTATTTGAAGAAACACATGAATACAGATACATAACACATTAAATCAGGATTGTTGTGGAACTCAAAATGTTAACTGCACTGGTATTAGTCTATGCACATCAGATAATTAGGGACATTAATTGTAATATTACAAGTTATTAGAGTATAAAGTATATCAGTATGGAATTCCTTGACTCTCATATTGACACAGTTTTCAAAAACAACAATAGAATAGTGTGAAATCAAGTAATGGCTTTTGGTTTTGGTGTGCCACCCCAAGATTTCCAGTGCCCCGCCTGGCCACCGCTATGGACAAATTCTGGGGGTGCAGCTGAAAAAAATACCAAGAATTTGGCGTTGTAAATCTGCCATCACTTATTAACATTAACTGCATTTGAAGCATTTGAGAATGGAAAGCAACTAAGATGGCAGGCGTAGGGTCAGTTGCATGCATTTTAATCATCTCATCATCAATCATCTGTAAGTAATTCTAAACCGCTCTTATCAACTGCCCTACAAATGGATCTGTACTAGTGTTGGGCCGATGGCTGACAGACATCACTACGTTGAGCCGGTGTTATGTCGATTTATGCTACCTATCGAGCAGAGCCCTTTAAAGAGTGCTACTTAGGGGTTCTGCGCATGCGTATGACCCACAAGCGTGGTTTGTTTCAACGCCCATTAATCTGTGCAACCTTGCTGTTGGGAATGCCGTCTAGAAAGTGGCTGATCGTCAGTAACATCCAAAAAATAAAATCTTTATTAGTCTATGAGAATACGCTACCCCTGATATCTTAAATAAAGATGGCATAATATAGTATTTCAACATGCTCCCCATCTCCGTACAGTACACATGGAGTGAGTAGTGGTGCAATATAAAATGATTCTGTGCATTATTTGATAGGGGATATTAGTCAGAATAATCAGAATACGCTACCCCTGAAATGATGTTATAATATAATCAAAAAACAGAATATGTCATAATACTGTGAGAGTTATAACGTTATGGGATTGGAAAAGGGAACACATAAGGTAGCATTTTTCGATAGGGCAGAGCGACTCGATAGACTCTGCTGTCGATTTGCGCTACGGTAGCATAGATCGTCAGAACACCGGCATGTGATTTTAAAACCAGTAGTAGGCTATGTTTTATAAAGTCACCTAAAAGACTGAGAACTCGTCTTTTTCCGTAAATATCCACCCGCTGTCCCTTATCATGCTAAGCAGGTGAGCCGCACGTCGGCTTATTAATGACGCAGATGAAACAACTGAAACCAACATCTGCACCCTGTGTGTTCACTGCTGCTTTACCTGGTCCGGGCGTAAAATATCCACCGCGACTTGTAACATAAGTTAATAGTCTGCCAATTTTTTTAACCGAGTGAAGTCTATGCGAAAACCAATGGACATAAGACGACTGCCCCCGCACCCGATGACATTGTCCATCCCGAAATTTTGTAGACATCGTCCGATGGAAATTTCATAAACATCATCCAACCCTAATCTGCACTCATTCATTAATCCAGATATGGTACAATTAACTTGTCATTCCTCTTTTAACTATGTAATGGTCTTCAATACTAATTAAATCTCAATTGAAAAAAGGGTTCATTCTTTAGTGTTGATGCTTTAAATATGAGTCTGCAAAGCTTTCATCCACCTCTCCGCTGGATTGAAAGATGTGGAAGCATCTTTCACAGGGTGACTGATCTGGTCTTCAGGCTCTATAATGTGCAGGTCACACATCGAGAATGGAGTTCTTCTTTCAGGCTTCCTCTCCTCTTTCAACGTTTGACCTTTAGAGCTTGTGTGAAGATCTTTTCCTGCATCTTCAAGACTCATATTTTCCACCTGAAATAGAAAAGGAAATTATGTAGGCTATAGTAACTTGTGTATTTATATATTCATATAAAGAGAAGCCAGAGGAAAATGGACTACTGCAGCAATTATCATTGTGAAATTTCCACCAGTTTGTAGTGGTTTCCATCTCACTTCCATTTGCAGTGATTTGAGTGCACAGTGCAGTTGCTTGAGATTAGTTCTCCCTGAGGGTGCTTGGGTTTTGCACTGGGATGAATATTCATTGTGTAATTGATTATAATTGACAGTTATGTTTCTTGATTGTATGATTGACTTCATTCACCTGCTGTTGTTCTGTAATTGCTCCCTGGATGCAGGGAGATTATAATTGAAAATATATATTTTATAGAAGGCGATTCCATTTTTGAAATTATTCACACATAAACACAGAAAAGGTTTTAAATTCCCTGTTCACAGCAACAACAGTCAGGTGCTGGTAGGTCGCAGGATTAGACTTTGAAAATCGAAAACAAGCTACCACAAACTGAAATGATTTTCCTACATTACTGTGAGCAATGCGTTTCGCCTATGGCTTCTTCAGGTTCACAGTGTATACAAAAACACTCACAGGCGTGCTAAATAGAAATTGGGTAGTTTGCCTGACCAGTAAATTCCATTTTTTTACGTTTTTATATATTTTCATTAAATCAACATCTTATACAAAATACTATAATAAAAACAGCAGAAATATGATTAATATCCAAAAATATCACATGAGTCACAAGAATCACATCATTTCACATAAGGAACTCTGAAATACCTTAGGGCAGATAAGCTGTAGGTCCTACCTCTGTTCATCTACCACTTAACGGAAGTTTCTCAACTTTCCCTGAAGGTGAAACACACTTCAGAGAAAGATAATCTAATTATAAACATCACAAGAAAGAGCTAAAATCCTGTGTTTCCTTTAGTCCACGAGGCTCAATTGTGTTCAATTTATGAATCCAAAAAGCTTCCCTTCTTAAAAATTGGTTAATCAGTTGACCCCCTCTTGGGTTGGGTCTCACTCTTTCAATGCCAATAAATTTAAGGGAAGTAGCCGAACCATAGTTTTTCTCTTTATGACCGCACATGTGCTCACAGTAAACTTGCTGGCTTTGCCCAATGATGAAAGAAACATAGTTAACATACTTGAGATGCTTTTTGAGCTGTTGGAAGATGTTTTCTCTATTAGCCGGCTACTTCCCCCCACTTCCACTCTCTCTAGTGCTAAGTGAGACTAAACATGTCCTGGACGAATACATTTTTCTACTGAAAGGACAGAGCTAAGATTGGTATCTACTTTCTTATCTCTCAGCAAAACATCCACATGTTCCTTTAATAATTGTGTAATCATGCTGTAACATCACAGAATCCCATGAATCCACAAAGGTCGGAAGTGGAAACATTTTTATACACATGTTGGCAAATTGTTTGCTATTAAAAAAAATCTAAACCAAAACAAGACATTATACCTAAAAACACAAAATTTGTTGTATTTAAGTGCAGTAAAATGTCACATTACCGCTTTTGCTTTCTAAAAACGGCCTTCATTGTGTGCATTTTTGCAATGCTTTGACCTCCCGCTTTAGGTCCCACCTTCTCTTCTCTTGTATTTGTCGCTCATGTAGGCCTAAAATAAAATGCCCAAATGTAGTGCTTGAAGTAGACCGGGACTCACGCAGTATTTTACTCTTTGGCGTACTGGCGACTTTTTCTTGCGTATCGGCACGTCTCACAATGAAACAACATACCATAATGAAACTGCTGTAACTGAAATTAATATTATACTTGTAGTAACCAATATAGGATAATATTATCTGAAATTATAATTAATACACTAATATTAGCCCTAATCAAACCTTAACAAGACAGAAAACAGTTTTATTTGTGAATCAGTTTAATTGTTGAATCTCTGTATGAAGTAGCATGCATGACCTGCAAAGCTATGTACGTGTCAGTGTCACATATAGGTGCTAACAATCTAGAAGCCCACATGTAGGCTCTATTAAAGTTCAATAACTTAGTTGCACGGTTACCATACTGCACTGGTATACTCAATTTAGTACACATGCTGGCTTTGGTATGGTTAGGCATTTAGGCATTTTAAACTGCTTTGTTAAGGTTATAAACAGATTGAGGTCAAGGTTATGGTTAGCAGATTATTTTAATGTTATAGAATGTAGCTTGAGTGTGTGTATTGTTTATTGTCAATGATGCTGTCTGAATGGTCAGGGAAGAGAACTCTGGTCTTTATCAAATATTGTCTATGCCCATCCAACCACCAGCGGAGGTTCATCTCAGACTTAGTCTGACTGACATTTTAATGTAATTTGTCATCTCACAGCCATGAAACAAGTGTCACATGGATCATCTCACAGAAATCCTAAAAAAAAAAACTAACTCAGTAATAAAATGCCAATACCAGCCTTCTTGGAGTAGCTGTGCCTCTCACAAGGTTGTCTGCGGCGGTGCAGTGGCTAGCGCTACAGTAAGTGGGAGCAGAATGTTTTCCACTCCCTAGTAAATCTGATAAAGAGGGAAAATGTGTAAATGTCAGTGAGGTTCTTCCTTATAGACAACATTAAAGCCAAAGAGAGGATTCATACAGATGTGCAAATTACACATTTTCACAAGACTAGTCACTCAAATAAGATATTGTTAGTTCAGTTACACACTGTGGGTATAGACAGCAGGTTGCTGAAACAACTTTAGGTTTAATTATTATTGCATTAGATGCTACTAGTTGTTATTTCACAGCACTCAGATAAACAAGCCAACAGCAGTAAAGACGTGGATCAGGATACTGGTGTCAAAAAAAATCCCCTTGATAAAATACAGCACAATGTTTATCTGCTCTTGTTATGTTTTATGTTGTTTGGAGGATCAACACAACAGTTCACAATTCATTTAACAAGGCAGTTAGAGCCAGCACCTTTGACACATCTGTGTTCAAACTTTAATATTTAATATTTAAGCCTTTGTGCTCTGTGCAGGACGTACAAACTTTATTCCTTTAATAAAGGTGCCCTGTTGAGTGTTTCAAACAAATGTTATGTTTAAATTCAGCTGGTAACTCACCAAAATGTTGTGTTTCATTGAGGTCTAACATACATGCTGAATGCATTTCCCTCATAAAACATTAGCAAAACACAATTTTCTTTTCTTAGCATGTTACTGCAACTTGAAATTAAGCAGAAATGTAGACACACAACTCATAAAAACAGTTCAGGCCAGAGATGCTCACAAGTCTTTGAGCTAGAATCCAAGTCAAGTCTCAAGTCACTCGAGGTTTTAATGAATGTTGTGTCACCTGATGTGTTCAATCCAGGATGCTTATAAAACTGCATTCGCTGTAAGGAATTCTGTCTCCAGTGTCTCATTAATGAAATCAACACTTTTCTGTCAATAAGTAGAGACTGCAATCACTTTCTCGCAAGTGGAAAACCTCCTTTTATGGGTTGTATTGGCCATTTAAAGTATTTTTACAGGTAAAAAGGACTGGATTGGTTGGTACACAGCAAGGGAAATAATATAGAGTCATAATAATTGCAAAAGAGATCATGTCTTTATTTTATATATAACTCAGCAGTCATGTTAGTTATAGGCTACAGTCTGTGTTCCAAATATAAACAAGGATGTTAGACATATGCCTACCAAACACATAATCCATCGGCAACAACTGGTTTTCTATTACTGCCTATAATCACGTAAATGTCAGGCCTGGTTGCGCTATAAACTTCAAACATTTATTTGGCCACAATTGTGATAATTGCATTAAAAGAAACGGTACAGTATCACAAAGACATAAAGTGATGTATATTTGCACATTATGTCTGTGTGACCCAGATGCAGCTGTAGCCATAAAGAGACTGTGCGATACAGCTTTAACATAGCCTACTGTGTGCGCTCCCGCAGAAGGCAATCACTTTTTGGAACAAAACCTGTGTTTATTGTCCTCTCTCACGTGTGGCTGCGCGCAGCAGATACATAGTTGTGTTACGTAGGCAACTGTGACTCAAGTCCAAGTCTCAAACTCGAGTCCCCATCTCTGGTTCAGGCAAGGGAGATCAATGAAAAATGTCTGGCAGGAAACTCTTCAGTACTCCAGTATATGCAATTCAAGCCAAAGGTGATCAGGATCAGGTTTACTGCCAAATAGATTTACACATACAAGGAATATGTGCTTCCCTGGTCCTTTGTGAGTCTGTCTTCATATCATATGCCAAGTGTTCCTGCCTGCTTCCTGTGTTGGATACTGTTTGTTTTCTGCCTTACTTGAAATTGTTGTAATTAGTTCACTTTAAGTTAATAAACTCTGATATAGAACCTGCTCAGACTGGTGTTCTGCGCCTGGGTCCAAATCCCTAATTTCCTGTGTCTGCTTTTGGTCTTTGAACAGAAGGAATTGTCTCATACTGCTGTTGTTATTAACATCTGCATATCCTGCATTTAAAAGAGTACACATCTTCAATAACTCACGCACATCTTAACAATGGTATTTTCCAATTTTCTTTCTCATGAATTTAATCTCGGATTGTTTTTTCTTGCAGTATATCCCCCCTTCTCCGGCTCCATAATGTTCTTTTATTTTTTACCTATACAATGGCCCTAATGCACCATTATAAATGAACAGTAAGTAGAAGATATAAAGAAAGAGTACTGTAAGTCAAGACACATTTTAGAAAATTGAAAATAAGCTATTAACAATTATTTTAAACAATATGTACAATATGACTGAAAAGCTGTACAGTTTGAGCAGGGATGAGCAAAATATTTACCAGGGAACGTGCAAAAGTTCACAGTATGAAGTTTAAAGAATATTTGCAATGTGCAAGATAGTTCCCCAGAAGATGTGTGTTAATTTAACTCATTGAGTCAAGAGTGTAGACATGTTATAACGTGTAGTGGAGGGTTAGGCGGAGTCACTGTGACTGTCAGTGGCAGTCAATGTCCCAGGATCCTGATGAGGCCAGCTGAAGACAGAAATAAAATGCGGTTTTGGTCCTGAT